ATCACACATCACACACACCACACACCACACCTCACACCACACCACACACACCACACACACACACACATAGACACACACACACATACACACCACACCACACACACCACACACCATCCTTCCTAGTCAAGGCCAGCACTCGGGGTGGCTTCTTAATGTAGACTGTATTCTTCCAGCAACACCACACACACCACACACACCACACACATACACACCACATCACACACACCACACACCACACCTTATGTTCAGGCACACACACCACACACACACACACATAGACACACACACACATACACACCACACCACACACACCACACACCATCCTTCCTAGTCAAGGCCAGCACTCGGGGTGGCTTCTTAATGTAGACTGTACTTTCTTCCAGGAAGCTCCTCAGTTCTAGCAAATTCTTCCCCCCAGACCCTTCTGTGCGCTCATCATGAAGCATCCTGAGAGGTGATTAAGATGGAAAGGAACAAGCATTGCAAACTAAAATATAATTACGTGCTAAATTGTGCGGTACAAGCTATGAATATTGGAGTAGTTCAGCGAGGTGAGTGCAGGTTGGAGGAGGAGCAGGAACCGGAGAGGGGGAGGCCTTGAATCTGGAGCGCCGAGGGGCAGGGGGAGGGCGCCGAGGCTCTCGGGTGTTTGGCCAAGTCAGGGGGCTGAGCGACGTGGCAAGAAAGAACTGCCCACCGCGGTCACTGCTCACTGGCCAGATTGGAGGAGCGTGGCAGTTAAGTGGGACCTGAGACTGAACCAACAGCCTGGGGCTGGGGACGGGGGCTGTGGCGGGTGGAGGATCTAGGCCCCCCGCTGCCTGAGCAGGGACCACCCCAGGTGTCTGAGCTTGCGGCTCCTCAGGGGCAAGCAGCCCGCAGGTGTGGGCCAGCCGGTGCCTTCCCCCAGGTGGGAAGCAGGGCCCGGCGTCCAGCTGGTCCTCTTAAACCTTACAACCCCCAGCAAGCAGATTAGGAATAACAGGACAACAGGACGGGGACGGCCCCCTCCGCACCCAGGGGAGGAAGTGCTGCAGGGAATGACAAACTCCTGCTTAGCGGCCACTTCACGCAGGAGGAACCAGGAACCCTACCTTCCACCTTCCGTCAGCTCTGGGCCTCACTTGGCCGCTGGGCCAGTGGGAGGATGGAAGTCCCAGGGTCAGGCCCTGCCTCTGCCCCGACCTCTCCACAACTCCCACCGCTCCCTGAGCGCCCTAGATGCGCACTAGGTGCTCGTCTCCATGGGTATAACGGTTAAGACGTCACTCCTCCTTCTGAGGCCTGAACATGGCCTGGAGGCAAGCAGGGAAATGATGGCGATGTGATGTGTCACATCCTGGGGAGCGTTCTGGGCGAAGAACTCCGGGAGCACACGCAGGGGTGACTCCGTCTGCCTGGGCTGCTCCCCGCGGAGATCCCTCCCCACTCTGACCCCGTGAAGTCAGACAACTGTCGCTCTGAGTCGGCCCAGGGCTTCACCAGGCCTCACAGTGGCCAGGTCCTGCCTGGTCCGCCTGCTGACAGCACAGCCAGTCTGCGCCATTTGCCAGCACCCTGGGCCTCGCTGCGCAGGCTCCAGCTGCTCTCTTTCCTGACCGGGATGTGGCCACAGCCCCCTAAATACACTTTCAAATTGGGTAAGTAGTGCCCAAACCCGTTTGGCTCAGTGGATAGAGCGTCGGCCTGCGGACTGAAGGGTCCCAGGTTCGATTCCGGTCAAGGGCATGTACCTTGGTTGCGGGCACATCCCCAGTAGGGGGTATGCAGGAGGCAGCTGATCGATGTTTCTCTCTCATCGATGTTTCTAGCTCTCTATCCCTCTCCCTTCCTCTCTGTAAAAAATCAATAAATAAAATATTTTTTTAAAAAATTGGGTAAGTAATATACAGAAAAAAATGGAATTTTACTTCTATACCACGTACAAGTTAGCTAAATATAGGTACCTAAACTATCCTAGGTCTGTGCTACGGGCTGAATTGGGCCTTCCTCCCCACCCCCACCCCACAATTTTTTTAAAATGATGACACCCTAACCTCCAGTACTTCAGAATGTGACCACATGTGGAGCTAGGGTCTCTAAGGAGGTAATTAAGTTAGAATTAGGTTATTGGACTGGGCACGAACCCACTCTGACTGGTATCCTTGCAAGTAAGAAGGGGAAGTGTACACACGGACACAGGCGCAGAGGGAAGCTCATGTGAAGATTCAGGGGGAAGCTGACCATCTACAGGCCCAGGAGAGAGGCCCCAAAAGACACCACCCTGCTGACATCTTACTGACTTACAGCCTCCGGGACTGTGAGAATGCATCTCTGTGGTTCAGGCCAGGCAGCCTGTAGCCATCACGCTGGCAGCCCTTCGGAACAGTGACAGTCGGCCAGGAGGGGAGCAAGGGTTACAAGAAACACGGGGGCTTTCCAAGGCTTGTTATCCTCGAATGAGACGACTTCACGATGACTCTGAATCGGAAAAATAAAACTGCCAAAGTTGTATTTTTTATAGGTTTGATTTCACTGTGAAAACCCATGCGCTTTGTCTCTAGGGTGAGAAGGAATTTTATTATTAGAATCTCAGTTTATGTGGATCTTTCCCATTCTTTCTCCAACCATTGCTATAAAATTGGCCAATTAAAACAAGCCTTGACTTACAGGTCAAAGTCAAATCCAACTTGAAGCCTGAATTCCCAAGGCATGATTCACTTTAGTATGTTTGCATCTTTTTTTATTACATTTATTGGGGTGACATTGGTAAATAAAATTATATGGGTTTCAATATACAACTCTGTGACATATCATCTGTGTGTTACATTGTGTATTTACTACCCCAGATCTAATCTTTTATTACCATACTAGAGGCCTGGTGCACAAAAATTTGTGCACTCGGGGGGAAGAGGGGGTCCCTCAGCCTGGCCTGTGCCCTCTCGCAGTCTGGGACCCCTCGGGAGATAACGCCCTGCTGGCTTAGGCCTGCTCCCGGGGGGCAGAGGGCAGGCCCAATCCCTAGGTGCATCCCCTGGTCGGGCTCAGAGCAGGGCCGATTGGGGAGTTGGTGCGCCACACCCTGTCATGCACAGAGCAGGCGGATTGGGAGGCTGCGATGCCACCCTCAGTCATACTCAGGGTAGGGCCGATTGGGGGGTTGGGGCACCGCCTCCTGTCACAATCAAGGCAGGGTTGATGGGGAGGTTGCGGCGCCACCCCCTGTCACGCACAGAACAGGGCCCATCAGGGGGTTGGGGAGCTCCCCCCCCTCACGCACAGAGCAGGGCCCATCAGGGAGTTGGGGAGCTCCCTCCTGTCATGCACTGAGCAGGGCTGATCAGGGGG